ATCCCCCAATGATATACAGAAGGAGAAAAAAGGTAATGACTATATAACTTTCTACAAATTCTCATTGCATAACTAATTTTACATATGCAGTATGTTATTTTATGGTTTCTCAGTTGGATAATTATAATTAAGTATCTTTTTTTTTTGCATGTACCTTCAGAGGTCCTAATTTGGACATTATATTGTATGCAAGGTCTCCTTTGAATAGCAAATCAGTTGATATGAAGATGATAAGGAGGTATCAAAATAAATCTCATAGATGAGTTTTAGCCATAGATGCAGATTCTGTAAGGGTGTTAAAGTTGTAAAGACAATCATAATTATGAAATACATAAAAGCATTTAATAATAGTCACAGAGTCATCTTCAACTCAAGCTAAGATTTTTAAAAATTAGAGTTATTATTTTCTGAAGGTGCAAAAGTTTGCTCACCATCATTCCTATGACCCCCTGGTCTAGTAGTGTATCTTGGAACATCTCCCCAAAATATATACACACACTTTGAATAATTATAAAGGCAATGTTTATTAAAATACATTTCCTTTTCAAAATTGAGCTATCAGCTATTAAAGTGTGTATACATTATTTTGGGACACCCTGCCATACACTATTTCATGAAATAGGCAACTAAAAGCCTGTTTCTTTCCTGATCCTTTACATCTTCTTCCACCTTCCAATAAAACATTCACGGAGACCATCAGAATTCTTTTTCAGGGGGAAATTATTTGCCTTTCATGAGGATAGTGCTTTTGGGGAAGAAACTTTTGGGCGATCCATGAATATAGGAGGCCTGACCTGAAAAATTGTGTACTTTGATGCTAACAAACAAATACATAATGCACAGTTCAGATTCAGGACAAAGTGATGGCTTTTCCAAGATTGGGTATGAATGAGTATTGAGGTAGAGGAGGAGAAAAGAAATACCATTCTTAGATACTTCAGGTAGAAATGGCCATCCAAGACATTCTCAAATCCTAAGATAGGTCACACATAGCTGGCCAATGAGATTTATCTTTCACTGGGGATGTGAGGTCCAGGCCTTTATATTGTCTGATGATTTAAACTGTCAGTCCTTGAGACATTTAATTCATTCAATTTCCTCTTAGGAAACTTATTAGGCTTATTTAGTGAGTAAGTTGAAGACGAGCTTCTGTACCATTCCTCAAGTACCAAGATTTACTCAAGTAGAGCACCCAAGTGAGCTGGCAACTTCCTTTCATTAGGATCTACCCTCATTTATGAGTCAAATACTTTTCAGTAACAAGCTGCAGTTGCCTTTGTAATGCAGAGCACCTCAGTGGAATCAGAAATCAAGATTCTTGTCTTTGTTGTGCAAGGGCTTTTATGGCCTCTAAGGGGCTGCATGTTCCCTTGTCTCAGCTTCTCTCCTATCTCTCCCTTTCTCTTTCTTCTACTCGTCTATACTCCATAATGACTGGCAGGTCACTTATATGACATCACATTTAGATTATATTCTCTATGTGAAAATCCTTGGGTCAAATTTTTCAGAGATAGACATTAACTCAGCACAGTCTACAGAATGATTTTCTATAAGTGATATCTCTACTTAAGGTCCAATTAAGTTTGATGGAGGAAGATATGATGTTGTAGGTCATGAAGAAGCAGGCAGCAAGGCTATGGTAGGCTCCTAACCTTGGATGGGGTGCAGGTGGGGAAGCAACAGATGATTTCTCTACAACAGACTTCCACAGAGACAACAAAGATACTGTACTTTGGGAGGTTCCCCAGGCTGCCACAAAGTGTACCATTCATTGCTGTGCATGCTTGAGAAGATTTTAGAGGCAACCAGGCTACCACACAGCTCTTACCATTTTAGTAGTCATAGTCCATCAGCAATCCTGAGATACCAGCATTTCCCTAGACGGCCAGTCTTCCAGCTTCTTCACAATAGAAACAATATTCTTACAAATGGGGTCTAGTTGTCTAGTCAAATGACATTAGCCAAAGAAGACCTCAGGGGATGTATTCATTTGGCTTTACATTAGACATAAACTTCCTTGTAGTGGTTGAGAGAATGGGCTCTGGAGTTCTACCAAATGCAGATGCTGGCCCTACTGGGCAATAATCACACAGCCTAGAGCAGGTTAGTTAGCCTCTCCAAGTCCCCATTTCCCGTTTGTGAAAACTACATGGTGGAAAAGAAAACATCCTCCAGGGTTTGTGAGGAATATGCCCTGAGAACAATTTTGATCCCTAGAAATTACTCAGTAAATATTCCCCAGGATTGTAATCATTACTGTTAATCTCCCTTTCATGTCTTATAGACCCAAATGAATTCAAGTCTCCACATCAATGACTTCTCTGCCTTCTTCACAGCTCTTGTCCTCACTTCTTCCCCAGATCTTTGCAAGTACAAAGTGTTAACAAGGGCTTGTTAATCAATTCACTTCAGCAGTGTTGTGCTTTATGCTTTGAACTTAAATCATTCTTACAATCAAAGATGGGAAAGAGGATGCATAAGGAGTAGAACCTTGACCTGATTTTGTGCAATTTGATGAGTATAGAGAGCATGTCTTTCAAATCCTTTTAGATGATTTGAATGTATGCCTCTCTCCTGAAATAAAGAGAAGGCCCTTGATGATTTCTCCAGTTTATTGGTCCATGTCAATAAGATCTAAAATTGTCATCCTCTATACTGAAAAACATGCAATCTGTCTCTTGAGACTGCACAAGATCAGAGACTGGAAAACCACAGGAGGTGCTTTAAGCTAGATTCACTCTTGTTCTTCTCTCCTGCAGGAGCCAAGTTGCCCTGATGATCATGAACTTGTCTTCTGAGCACTGCAACATCTCAGATTGGCTGAGGCTCGAAGCAACAGTGAAGGCCTCTGTGTACGTGGTCACTTTCTCCTTTGCCACATTCATCACGATCATCATCATTGCAATAGTGTCACAGAATTCAAAACTTAGGAAAGAGGTCCGATACATCTTCCTTTGCCACCATCTGCTGTGCATCTCATCCTACTGTGGCCTGGGAATGGTTTTCCAAGGGATGCGAGCCCTGATGGCCAACAGCCCCGTGCTGATGTGCTGGTTGGTGTTTGGGGCCCAGATAAGTTTTGGAGAAGGGATCCTCTTTACTCTGGCCTTGATGGCTGTCAACACTTACCTGGTCATTTGTTGGCCATTGAAATCTCTGTCCTTTGTAGATTCAGTTAAGTATAGAATCCTGGCTGGGACTTGGATAATGATTATACTCAAGAATGTTTGTTTATTCATCATAGAGGGCACCAACTCCACTTCGGTTGCTGTTTTAAAATTAGAGCCCCTTTGCCCCGTGATTTTTAATGGTACTCCTGCCAGAGCCATTGGCATGATTTTCTTTCTCCTTCCTCTAGCAATAATTCTTATAAGTTACTCTCTAATATATCAAGAAGGCAAACGTGCTGGCCATTTTAATAGGTCAAATATCAAAGCAAGGAAAACAGTCCTAATTCATTTTTTGCAGATCGCCTTACATGTAATACCAACCCTGATATTTATAGGTTTGGGAAAGATGTGTGGAGTGTTTTTCTTTGCTTTAAATCTGGTGCTTTTTGGAGTCTTTTCATTTGGCCAGTGTTTTAACCCTCTGATCTATGGGCTCTGGAATACCGAGCTGCAAAGCAGATTATGTCATTGGAAATGTTGTCAACTGTGGTATAGTAGTCACACAACGAACAGCAGAGGGCAAGTTTAAACAAAAACTCAGCCATTTTGGGTCAATAACCCTAGTCCCAGTGGACCATCAGCTAGGGTGAAGGACTTGCTTTTTACTCAACCTAACATTGGTGCATTGACTTGATATTGAAAATAATATTAGTAAGTCATAGCTTCATCTGACTTACAAACTTTGCTGCTGCATACACTGGTCTGTCCTCAGAGAAATCGTTTTATGTCTTTAATTTTAAACCCAGATCAACATTTTGGCAGCATGCCTTCTTGTGTTGCAGTAGTTGAGCAACTTTTGAGAATGCTCCTGTTTTTAGAGACTGAGAAATAGTCCATAGTTGATATGAAGGGAAGAAGTTTGGCTGTTCCCCTTATAGTAATTAGGGATAAGTTATAATAGAGCAGCAACAAAATAACAGTGACTTTAAAAAGTTAGAGGTTATTATTTTTTCTTATGTAAAAGAAATCTGGAGGTACACAATCCAGACCTATGTGGCAAATTGTTCTCAGGGAATATTCTCTTTTCCTTTGACATGATCTGCATATTACTTCATGACCCCAGATGGCTGTCAGTGCTATCATCACACTCTCAGTCCAACCAACAGGAAAGAGCAAGGGGCAAAGAAGAGTCAGTACTCTCCTTCTGAAGACACTTTCTAGGAGTTACAGAAAACATTTTTTTTTACATTTAACTGGCCAAAATTTAGTCATATGGCTATGGGAAAGTCATATGGCTTTAGGGGAGAGTGGGGAGAAATTTTAGTTCGTAGTAGTGCCTCCAACTACCCAGTTAAAAATTAGGGTTCTTAATACTAAGAAAGGAAGGAAGAATTGATATCAGGAAGCAAAACTATCCCAGGGGTCATTTTCTCAATAAAATTAAGTATAAAGGAATACAATGGATGCATTATGATTGTCACAAAAATATATTCTGCCTTTCAACATGATATACAAATACAGTGTTAGCTGTTCAGGATTCCAGGAAACTTTGTGTCATGTCAACAGCTCTCAAAGAGAATGGCATCAATAAAGAGAACACTGAACTGGTTTAAATAGAATTAGCACGTTATTTAAATCTAAGAAAGTTTGAGGCAGCAGTATGACATAAATTCTTTCAGATAAGTTTATATATGAAATTTCTTTACATGAGACATCCATCTGTGAATCAGTCAGGATTCATTTCTAGAAAAAGGAATTACCACTTTAGGTATTTAAACATAAAGGAGCTAATACAAGAATTAGATGCTTACAAAGTCACTGGAAGGGTTGGAGGAGTGGAAGTCAGGGCCACCGTTGATTGATGTCAAGAGTCATCTACTGCAGCTGTGATCTGGAGGTCAAGCAGCTGCTTCCACCATGGCCCCTGCTGCCTCGTGCCACTCATAGCTCTGTGATTTTGTTTGCCAAAATAAACAGCAACAGGAAGACATTCCATCCTCCAGTTCTTACTTGATTGCCTCTAATTGGTGAAACATACCTGGCATCCAGACTCTAAGAGCAAAGTAATCTGGGAAATGTAGTTACCCCAAAAGGAGTGTGACATGAAGATTGAGTGAGGTCCATCATTACAATATTTAGCTTCATTTACAGGTAACAACAACAACCACAAACTATGATGACAACAAAGAAAATAGATACCATGTATTGGGCAACTATTATGCTCCTGACACAATGTAAGCCATTTTATATACACTACTAGAGGCCCAGTGCACAAATCATGCATGGGTGGGGTCCCTTGGCCTGGGGTTCCCTTTGCCCTGGCTTGCTTCGGGGCTGATCGGAGCTGGCTCACCCAGTCCCTATTGGGGCAACCAGGGCCAGCAGCTGTGAGGGAGGGGGGGGGGAGTGGGGGGTGGGGGCAGAGAGACTGCAGGAGGTTAGCCGGCCAAGGGGTTGGGGGATGGGGACCATGGGAGTCTGGCTGTGGGAGTGCACTGACCACCAGGGGGCAGCTCCTGCGTTGCGCATCTGTCCCTGGTGGTCAGTGCATGTCATAGTGACTGGTTGACTAGTTCAATCATTTGGTCATAATGGTCGCTTAGGCTTTATATATATATATGCCAAATCCTCATAACAATTTTATATGCAGGTGTTACTATTCCTGACTTAGAGATGAGAAATGCTGAGGCTTAGAAAAGCCTTGCAGGAGCTTAGAAGGCCAGGACCTTCCCTTTAAGACAGGACTTGACGTTTGGCTGGAGATCCTGGCTAGAGGTCCTGACTAGGCTGCTGATCAACTGAAGGCTGTCTTCGTGTCATTCCTTCTTCATCGACTCCGTCCACACCTTTGGGGACCCCTGGACCTGCTGGGATTGGACCCCAGCACCCTTCACTCTTAGTCTGTGTGAATCCTTTGTTCTGAGATTCAAGCAACAGCGGCCTCCTGATCACCACACGCTCTGCCTGGGGAACAGTTGCTGCGTCTGAAGCCTCCCTCCACCAGCCAGAAGAGCCACCACAACTGTGAACAGCACCCATCAGAGGCCCTGCTATCAACAGAGGAGCCGCTGCTACCACAACCGCCCAAGTAGTAATGTCAGTGAGATCAAACATGGGTAGACAAAGAAACCCCCAAAGGAAAGAAAAGGAGGACTCGCCAGAAAAGCAGCTAAGTGAGACAGAGATATGCAACATGACGGAAAAAGAATTCAGAATAAGGTTCCTAGAGTACATGCACCGGATGTTCAAGAAGCAAGAAGAAACAGATGAAAAACTCAACTACGTATGCAAGAAGCTAGAAGAAACAGGTGAAAAAATCAACAACTTAAGTAAGTCCCAAGAAGAAATGAAGAGCGACATAGCTGCAATAAAAAACACCATTGAAAGTATCAACAGTAGACTGGGAGAAGCGGAGGACCGAATCAGTGAATTAGAAGACAAGGAAGCAAAACACACTCAAACTGTACTGCAAATGGAGAAAAAAATTAAAAGACAGGAGGAGAGCCTAAGGGAACTTTGGGACAACATGAAACGAAGCAACATACGAATAATAGGGGTGCCAGAACAACAGAAAGATGAACATGGATTAGAAAACCTATTCGAAGAAATAATATCAGAAAACTTCCCTGAGGTGGGGAAGAAAAAAGTCACACAAGCCCAGAGAGTCCCAAACAAGGTGAACCCGAAAAGACCCACACCAAGACACATCATAATTACGATGGCAAATGTTCAGGATAAAGAGAGAATCTTACAGGCTGCAAGAGAGAGGCGGAAAGTAACATACAGGGGATCTCCCATTAGATTATCAAATGATTTCTCAACAGAAACACATCAGGCCAGAAAAGAATGGACGGAAATCTACAAAGTGATGCAAAGCAAAGGACTGAATCCAAGAATACTCTATCCAGCAAGGCTATCATTCAAAATTGAAGGGGAAATAAGAAGCTTCACAGACAAAAAAGGGCTAAGGGAGTATATCACCACCAAGCCAGCCATGCAAGAAATGCTAAAGGGACTGGTGTAAAAGAAGAAATATCAAGCTCAGAAAGAAAACAGCCACACACACACACACAAAAAGAAATGGCTACAAACAAGTACCTTTCAATAATAACTTTAAATGTAAATGGACTAAATGCTCCAAATAAAAGACATCGAGTGGCTGAATGGATAAAAGAACATAACCCATACATCTGCTGTCTACAAGAGACCCACCTCATTGGAAAGGACTCACACAGACTGAAAGTGAAGGGATGGAAAAATATCTTTCACGCAAATGGAAAGGAAAAGAAAGCTGGGGTAGCAATACTTATATCTGACAAAATACATCTCAAAG